TTAGGGTTTTGGGTTTAGGCTTTGGGTTTTGGTTTAGGGTTCAGGGTTCAAGGGCTTTCGGTTTTTGTTTGACCATCAGGTGAACAGGGGTTGCCAACACCGTTGAAAGTCAACATTTTGGCGTTGGGTTTTTGAAAGATTCATGCTCGATCCAGGGTTTTTGGGGTTTGGATGTTTGGGGTTTGGGGCTTTCAGGTTTACATTTTATTGTTGCTCCCATGATGCAGTCTATACAGAGGCTTTTCGCTCTAGCCGAGAGCAGCACGGTTGCATGCAGGAAGCTGTTTTGGCTCACATGAGGATGTTTCCCATCTACCCCAGCGAGCCAGGAGCCACAACTGGCCAACTCCCAAATCCAGCCAGCCCGGAGTACTAGCCCAAGCCTCATGAGGGCTTATAAACCGACTCACCGAGCCCCATACAGCATACCCTCACCCCAGAACTTACATACCCTTAAACCCTAAGTCTTAGGCCGTTTGCCGAAGCTTTTTGGGGGTGCTTCGGAAAGAAGAGGCAGGATTAGGGGCTTGCGGGTTTCACGTTTGGGAGTCTGCTTGGCCTATGACTTAGCTGGCTATCTCGTTTCGGAAAGCATTCTGGGCTAGTCCTTGGGAGATCTACAGGTTTTGTGTCGGTGTAGAATATGTAGATTAGATGTGGGTTCGGCCGAGTCAAGGGTCTGGCGGTTGTGGATCGAGGGTGTGGGTAGAAGACATGTCGGGTTGTGGTCATTCAGGTGATTGGGGATTTGAGCATACGGTTCTGGGCCTAGGACGAACTTGGATTTCCGGCTATAGGGTTCATCGACAGGGTTACTAAAAGGCCACTATGAGGTTGCTGAATAATTTGAAAAACGATGATATGTACCACTTGTGTAAATGCGCCATGGCGGGTGCTAAAGGGGGATTTAGTACAAATCAGTGTTTATGGGGTTCAGGCGGCTGAGGACATATTCCTGGTTTCTAAACCCCGAGCGGATTCACGGTGTAGCATCGTAAAAAAGCAACAAGCTTGTCCTTGCTTGTTTTGGGGTCGTTCGTGTGTTTGTCTGTGTGCGTGTGTTTGCATGTTCTTGGGTATACAAGGTGTGCGGTCTATATCAGCGTACATCATCTGAGATCCAAAACCCCAACGAAGAATTATAGCCCTAAGCCCAAATCGGTTCTCTTAGCGGGAGGTGAGCCTTTTGTGTGTTTGTGACCAGTCCACGGTCCTTAGCGGCCTTATCGCAATCCCTCTCCAAGGCCCTGTATCCCTGCAAGGTTCACCATTACCCGAAAGCCGTCCTCCGGGGAAAAGGGCCCTCCACATGTGAGTCCTTAATTAAAGCTTTAGCGTAAACCCTAAACATCCCAAATGAATATCCAGAGGTTCCAAGCATCGCTCAGGCGTGCCAGAGCCCTCATGGGCCTTCATCCATTTCGCTAGCGCTGGCTGCGTCAGGAACTCTGGGAAGATTTATTTGGACAGGGCCGGGGGTAGGGTTCAGGGCGTTAGGGTTTCGGGTTTAGGGGTTTAAGGCTGCAAGTTTAGGGCTTCAGGGGTTTCGGTGTGTGGGGCTTAAATGTTTCGAGCTTCAGGGGATTATGGGCTGTATCGAAATGCCCGTTCGGGCAGGTGGTGTTTTCAGATTCTCTGTTGATGTCAGATTTCGACAGGGTGATGATTGGGGGTGTGTAAAGCTCACTAGAAAGGTACAATCATCAAGCAACTAGCAACACCAGAAGAGCTGCGATGTCGAAAGCTGAAATCGGAACTCGCCCCCCAGACCTTGAAGGCCCAAGAGAGCGTAAGCTACACAGTATTCAAGCTTGGCATTATGTGGAGCCAGGGTTTAGGGTTTAGGGTTTAGGGAGTTGTCTGACGGCCTCAGTGAACTTCGCAATCAAAGTGTCTGAAGCCCTCCCAGTTCACTTGCCTTAGGCCATGCCTGTGGCAAGCCGCGCAAGGTTCGGTGCCAAGCTGATCACGAACAGTACCTTTGAGTCTCTGGGGTTCAGAATTCATAAGTGCTATGCTATATGTATGTATATATATATATATGCATACATGTATAGATACATGCAGGTAGTGCGGTGATTAATTATTACTACTACTACGACCACCACCGTAATTATGTGTCTTTTCATTAATGTTGTCATTGCTATTCGTAATATGTTTTGTTACCGCTTATCTTAAGGGGCTGAGGATTAAAAGCCTCTATGCAGGGCACCTTCGGTGGTCCTGGCAGGGCTTAACACATGTAGGGTTGAGGATGGTGTTCTATGGGATCCAGTTACGCAAATAGTAGGTTACTAGCCATAAAATACCTTGCCTTAACCTACCAAAACCTACTTGTTTGTAGGGTCCCTATAAATTCCCTAGTAGGGTTTATAATAAGAACCTACAAAAAGTAGGTTTTGGTAGGTTAAGGTATGTAACCAATTATTTGGGCAACTGGAGCTCTAGTTGGGGGTTTGGGGAGGATAACCTGAACCCTCGACCTGATACATTGACTTGCACGCGTTTGCTCCTTAATGGTTGATGCACGTACCTACCATGGTGGCACATTGTAACAACGCAACATACTCCACAAAATCATGAGAAGGCCCATGAGTCATCCTCGAACCCAGGACGGCTTGCAGCTAGTTGGGACAAGTAATTTTTTCCCGGTTTGCAAGAAGCTTAGCGGCGTGTGGCCGCAATTGTGAGAACTTACCAACCCGCTTGTTCTTATGTAGGGGCTTTACTCACACAGCCACGCTAGTTCTCCAGACTAAGTAAACAACTACATGTATGTGTGTATATATATGTATATATATATATATTACGCATGTTATGCATATATACATATATAGATACACACACACATATATATATATATATATATGTATGAGCATAATGTATGCAGGCTTCTATAGTATAACCCTCGTCTAGAAGAAACTCGAAGCTGGCAACCCCATATAAGCGGACGGGTAATATAGGGGCCTAAAAAATTGCTTACATTATTTTGGGAGGATCCTTATTATACATTTACAATTTTAGTTTAATATACCCCCAAACCCCATTCAAATTATGAAGGCCCGTACATTCTGGAAAGAAGTGCGGGCCCCACATGTGTATCCAAGACCAACACGAACCCGGCCCCCAAAAGACCGCATAAGCAAAACTTAGGACAGGTTTATTCTACCGGATAAGCTAGGGATCCCCCTGGAAGATGCTCATGCTCATCTCCTTTCTTTGTGGTCTCTATGAACCCGAATCCTTCCACCCTGAAGCCCTAAACGCTGAACCCTGGTAAAACGATAGCAAACTCGAAATCGAAGCCCTAAAGCCTCCAAGCCTCCTGTTCTACAGCAACTAATTAACCCCGACCCACCGGAGCTTTCAACCCGAAATTTCTGAACCCAAACCCTAAGGTTTTAAGATTTTTTGCATGCTAGAGACTGGAAATCCAGTTATAGGTTTTTTACCATTCTGGGTAGGATTTGGGCTATCATCATTTGGAGGATTTGTTTTTGCTCAGGATTCTGCTCAGGATTTGTTCTAGGATTTTTTTTATCATTCGATTTTGCTCAGGATTCTTCCCAGGATTTGTTCTAGTGTGTTTATTTGCTCAGGATTTGTTCG